ATTCTTTCAATCCTAGTTATTAGCTACCACAGACTGACTGAAGGATGCAGAACATAAAATATTTTTAAATGTTTACTTTTCTGTACGAATACTAACTAGACATGGAAAGAATATAAACTCCGGCCACATACAAGTCGATAATATGATAATCAAACAAACGGAAACATATATGTACTTGGGTGCAAACTTCAACTGTTCCAACATGCTGAGAGAAGAAATACAATCTGATAATACAATCTAGAAATAAAGTGTACTATGCCCTTCAACATCTGCTAAAGTCAAAGTGTCTGTCTCGCAACACTTAGATCAAAATATAAAAAAAAACGTTGAAAAGGCCAGTCATTTTATTTGGCTCTAAAACTTGAAGCAGAAATAAAAGAGATGAGGCCTTATTACCGGTTTTCGAAAACAGTTTTAGGACAAATTTTTGGACCCATCAAAGATGCTAACACCGGGGAATGGAGAGTCAGAAGCAACAACGTAACACATAATATGTTTAAATCACCATTGATCACTGGCATTATGAGAGCTAACACACTAAAATGGTTTGGGCATATTGAAAGAATGTCAGCTGACAGAGAAGTAAAAACTGTATACACCTGAGAGAGGAATAGGCGTAGATCACGAGGCATACAAAAACTAAGTTCGAGAGATAATGTCCAGCCTGACCTGCAAACAAATGTTGTCACAAATTGTGAAGATAAGGCCAGCCAGAGAGATGAATGGAGACGAGTGATATCTGCAAGCAGTAAACCTCAAGGGCTCAGAATGCTAAAGAAGAAGATGACTATTCTGTGCTACTTTATGTGAAGTAAAAGTTCAGCGTACATTTAACATTATAAATGTGTGTTTTTAAGATATATTTTATACACTATTCGTATTCGGCCGAATAGTTGGTCCCGCTATTCGTATTCGGCCGAATAGTGAAAATCACTATTCGGTACAGCCCTAGTTCCAAGCACCGAGGCATGGCGCCAGCAAAGAGGGATTGAGCACTCTAGGATGTCCAACAGAAACCCTAAGGCGTACGTAACGGAATTAAGGAATGGTATGAAAGCCCTATGTAACATGAAATGGCGCAACCGTACAGTTAATGAATTGAATAATAATTGAAGAAATGAGTGAGTGAATCGATGAATGAAAAGTAGGTAAATATATAATTGACATAAAATCGACCGATTGTTGTTGTCCCTTAACTTGTCATCCGAAGGTGTCATCACTTCAAATAAAACAGAAGAATTAATTAAGAAATCCAGCAAAGATGCAATAAAGCCAATCAAGTTTTAGGCCAAATGGCACCAATTTTGAAACGCAAGCATGTAAATATACACTAATAGAACACTGTTCAACACAATATTCTAACCAGCGCCTCATCTATCAATGTCAAACGTGTGATGAGAAGACAGAAGAAAAATAGTCACGACCGAAATGAGATGTTTAGGTACTATGCTAGATCTAACGAGGAAAGATTGACTTAGGAACGATGATATCAGGAGGGGAGTCGGCACAGAACCAATACTGAACTTTCCAGGTAGACAACAATTCAAGTGGTTTGGTCATGTAATAAGACTGGCATCAGACAGGGCCCTACGGAGAGCAATGTTATGCAAAGACGGTTACTGACCCAGAGGTAGAAAATGCAGAAAATGGACTGCAGAAATATCAAAGACACTGGAAGTATTTTATACGAAGCCAACAGAAGGGCCGGTTAAATAGATTGCTTCCTGCCCTGACGCCGCGAGGCATTTCAGAAATAGAGAAAAATAGACAGAAGAAAGAGTCAAATCCTGGATGTCAGACACCGTTTTGTGCCCAATGTCCTTTTTTTGGACATAAAGGTAAAGTGAAAGTTCCTTTATACGCCATTATATGAGAATAGACTAGTAATTTTATTGACCTCGATGGGTGCTGTGATCAACACCACGTCGTCCGCCTTCACTTCTCATTATTTCACCTGGTACCCATTTAAGACTAGACTGACCTGGGAGCAAAGGTCAGGTTTGGAGAAAAAAAATCTAGCACTGTGCGAATTTGAACCAGCCACCTTTCGATCCTTAGACGAGCGTTTAACCAGTTCACCGCTATTTCTCTCAGTTGTGTAGATTCGTATTTTGTAAAACTACATTGTAATGTCAGTTTGCTATTTATTATGGTATGGCTAGTTTAATAATTTGTAACACTTTGTAATAAGTAAAGTAAGTAAAGTAAAGATCACTTTTCACGCCTTAAGGTTCATTGGGCATATGAGAAGAGCAACTATATTTTTACAGACTAATCGGCACTTTAGGGTGGGGGGGGGGGGCAAGTGGTCAGCATAACGCAGGCCATCTTTACTTCCCCAGGACATACATCCTGGTACCCATTTTAGGCTAGATCGACCCGCGACGCCCCATACCATGATAAAATTCCACGCAGCCAGCAGTGGGTTTTGATCGCAGTGCGTTACAATTAGAAGTCAGACTCGCAACGCCTAAGCCACGGACGCCGCTATTACATTTTAATGCCAGTTTGATTCTTGTTATCACAAACCTGCCTGATTGTCTGATTGTATATAAAAATACTAAATTATAATACATTCAGCTGAGGTGATAAAATGGCAGTTTGACCGTATTGATAGACCCATTATCTGATTTGATCATTTATCGACCATACAAAGCGGAGCCAAAAATTGGCTGACAATTGCTTAATGCAGTAGGCATGTGGCAGGTTGGAAACTGAAATTCATTGTCACGAATTATGGTCTTTTGAAAGACAACTGCACTTATTCAGTTAACTCCCTCACGTGTGCCATGTGGCCATTGTTTGGTTAATGTAAAATTTATGTAGCCGATACCGTCCATTGAACATATTCGCACACGTAACGTTAGATAACTAAATACACACATATACCAGCGATTTGTTTATTATATTAATAAGTAAAGTAAGTAATCATGTTCCTCATTATGTGCCGTGCCGTAAGCATAGGCTCTCATGTTTCGGCATTTCACCATAATCACGGATCAGTTCAATGTTATTGTCTCGCCCCATCCAGTCTAGCCAGGCCATTGAGATATTTATCTATTCGCCTTCCTCCAGCTCTCTTGCCAGTTGTTACTAAGTTCTCGAGTCCAATAATTCTCATAATATGTCCGAAAAGTCTTGACCGTCTCATGTCTAATTGTTCTGATAACTTGACGACTGTCATCTGTAAGTAAAGAAATCGTTACTGCTAAAGCATTGCACTGCGTATATTATGTTAGACTCATACTTTTGTAGACCGATCAGACAATCTGTTTGATGTGGTGGGCATCGCACCATCCGCCTTTACCTCCTAGTACATAGCCGGGTACCCATTGTGGGCTGTGTCGACATGGGAGACAAGATTCAGTCGGCGGGGGGGGGGAGGGGGGCGGGGGGGGGGATCAGCCTCGGTAAGAATGTGAACTATAGACCCTCAGGCTGGCAGATGATCGTCTATCCGCAGCTCTACCGCGGCTTCTGTTAATTAAATTGAATTTTGTTTTATTATAAAAAGTGTAATTTGCACACGTCAACAGCAATTAGATGTCTGAGAAGGGCTGTAGGAGTGACCAAAAGAGATAAGATCAGGAATGAGATCATAAGAGAACAAGTCGGCACAGAACTAATTCTGGATTACATACAAAGACAGCAAGTGAAATGGTTTGTCCACTTAGAGAGAATGCCTTGTGACACCATACCATACAAAGCATACATAGAAAGAGAAGAAGGACGTAGAGCACGGGGTAGACCAAGAACAATATGGAAGGATAACATCAGAGAAACTCTACAACAGCACGATGTGCCTATGGTCGAGGCAGCCAGAAGAGCTAGAAACAGAACCTTATATCTCCCTCGACCCTCGACACCCACAGCGGTAAAAGAGGAAGTGGAGAAGATGAAGAACAGCAATGGGCTCTCGCATATGATGATGGTGACGATGATAATGATGATGATGATCATGCATCTAAAATATATATCCCCCTCTCCCGCGGTTTACATAGTCTGAAGGTGAAGAGTGGGGAGGGAGGGGGGTGAAATAGATCCACTGCCCCATATCCATCATGTCATAAAAAGCCACTCCCTCGAAGTCGGAATCCATCTGAGAGGCGGAAAACTAACAATACACATAAGCCGGACCTGTAAAACGGATCTGCAAGCAAGAAGGAACCAGAATTTTCAACCGGAGTCTACAGACGGGGAAACAAGAAGAAGAAGAAGAAGAAGAAGAAGAAGAAGAAGAAGAAGAAGAATAAGAAGAAGAAGAAGAAGAAGAAGAAGAAGAAGAAGAAGAAGAAGAAGAAGAAGAAGAAGAAGAAGAAGAAGAAGAAGAAGAAGAAGAAGAAGAAGAAGAAGAAGAAGAAGAAGAAGAAGAAGAAGAAGAAGAAGAAGAAGAAGAAGAAGAAGAAGAAGCAGCAGCAGCAGCAGCAGCAGCAGCAGTAGCAGCAGCAGCAGCAGCATCAGCAGCAGCAGAAGAAGAAGAAGAAGAAGAAGAAGAAGAAGAAGAAGAAGCAGAAGCAGAAGCAGAAGAAGAAGAAGAAGAAGAAGAAGAAGAAGAAGAAGAAGAAGAAGAAGAAGAAGAAGAAGAAGAAGAAGAAGAAGAAGAAGAAGAAGAAGAAGAAGAAGAAGAAGAAGAAGAAGAAGAAGAAGAAGAAGAAGAAGAAGAAGAAGAAGAAGAAGAAGAAGAAGAAGAAGAAGAAGAAGAAGAAGAAGAAGAAGAAGAAGAAGAAGAAGAAGAAGAAGAAGAAGAAGAAGAAGAAGAAGAAGAAGAAGAAGAAGAAGAAGAAGAAGCAGAAGCAGAAGAAGAAGCAGAAGAAGCAGAAGAAGCAGAAGCAGAAGCAGAAGCAGAAGCAGAAGCAGAAGCAGAAGCAGAAGCAGAAGAAGAAGAAGAAGAAGAAGAAGAAGAAGAAGCAGAAGCAGAAGAAGCAGCAGCAGCAGCAGCAGCAGAAGAAGAAAACGATAAAACTGTTGTAGAAACAAAATGTAAGAATAATCTTACTTACCAGAAAGGATGATCATCTCAATGCCCCAGCTAACAGACCAAAACCAGCCAACCAGCAAGAACGTTATGGTACAGAGCTGGGCCAAACCGACCATACAGTTGGCACACAGCGTGATCAAAATCTGGTCGTCCTTGTTGAGCACCCGAGGTTGGCCACAGCATAGAATGGCCAGTCCACTCAAAGCCGTACCTGCACAAGTCAGATAGAAAGTTCCATAAACTGTTGGTGAAGCATTCACTGGTAGAGTGTTGACCTAAGACACTTGCAGTCAAGAGCTTCTTCTTCTTCTTCAACATTCCGAGCCCTTGAGGTTCATTGCTGCAGATATCACCCGCCTCCATTCATCTCTCCTTTTGGCCTTTTATTTCCAGTTGGTGACACAAGTGTTTGCAGGTCTGTCTGGACATTATCTCTCCATCGTCTTTTTGGTCTGCCTCGTGGTCTACGACCATTCATCTCCCTTATGTATACAGTTTTCACATCTGACAGCCAAGAGCTCGAAATTGTTTATATAATTCTGAAATCAATGTCAAATCTGTGTGGGAAATGACTGATCTTCAGCGCGACTGTAGTCGCTACTCCCTTTCCTCTGTTAACGCCGTACGTAGGGTGGTGTACACCAAATCAGATATCCCTCTTGTACCGAGATCTTCAATAGGAGAAGCACGCTTGGAAGGATTCTTATTCTTGGACGAGCAAATACAATATGCAAATTGTATGTTTAGGTAGGGCAGATCAGGTGTTTAGCCCTGGCTGGCAGCTGGTCTATGAAGTAAACTACGACGGGCAAACAGACAGGACACTGCTCCTCTGAGCCGACAATGTCTGCATTGTGCTTTTTACTAAAAGTATTGATGCGTTAGCAGACCAAACGCGGGATCATATTGCGTTGGTAAAACATGGTCTCTATAATATTTTACATGCTTTTTTGCAGGGAAGAGGAGGAACTTCCTTTTCGGCCTCAATTTAAGATACTTCTCAACGGGAACTGGTCTTACGTACTTACTTAGTCGCTCCTCTTATACCTTGGGGTGTAGAGGTTTGCCAGAGAGATCGCCAGAATTTTCTGTCAGCAGTGTTCTTTCTGGCTTTGTTCTATTCCAGTCCTCTGTCGGTCAGGGACTGTCGGATGTTGTCTTCTCAGCGCACCCTGGGTCGTCAGTCCGCGATGTGGTCTTCCTAGTCATAACTGTCATTGTGCCCCGCCTTGGGTTGTGCACCCTGATGTCCTTATTACAGTGGAAACGCATCATCTGAAGAGGCCTAAATGTGCCTACAAACCTCACACAATTTGTTTAATATTGAAGAGATATGGCCCCTGAGATCCTCGTCCTGTCTCTTGTTCTTTTTTTTTTTTTCGCTTTTTGTGAGCTTCGATGGAAAGTTTTGTTTGTTCGTCGCCTTCTGGAGTTTAGTTTTAGTTTAGTTACAAATATAGCTTACTGTTGGTTCCTTGCCTCTCGGGCAGATGCAGTCTGACTTCAATGGAAACCCTTAATTAGTCGACTTTTACGACTTGCCTTTGTAATGAGACAGCGGGTCTAATTTTTGTTTTCTTACAATGGGGTCCCGGAAGCCACAGGGGGATCGTTTTATCTAGACTCTGACTGCACTTGAATTCTTTTCAGTCCTCTTTCAAGTAATCTACTGATGGTTTATGCTAGCATGACTTGTAGGTATAGTAATTTACTAATGGATCGTGTTAGCATGACTTGTAGTTATAGTAATCTGCTGATGGATTAAGCTAGCATGACTTGTTGGTTATAGTAATCTGCTCATGGATTATGCTAGCAAGACTTGTTGGTATAGTAATTTGCTGATGGGTTATGCTAGCATAGCTTGTAGGGATAGTAATCTGTTGATGGGTTATGCTAGCATGACTTGCTTTTATAGTAATCTACTGACGGGTTATGCTAGCATGGCTTGTTGGTATAGTAATCTACTGATGGATTATGCTAGCATGGCTTGTTGGTATAGTAATCTACTGACGGGTTATGCTAGCATGGCTTGTTGGTATAGTAATCTGCTGATGGTTGTGCTAGCATGACTTGTTGGTATATTAATCTACTGATGGGTTGTGCTAGCATGACTTGTTGGTATAGTAATCTAATAATGGATTATGCTAGCATGACTTGTAGGTATAGTAATCTGCTGATGGGTTGTGCTAGCATGACTTATTGGTATAGTAATCTACTGATGGGCTATGCTAGCATGGCTTGTAGGTATAGTAATCTGCTGATGGATTAAGCTAGCATGGCTTGTTGGTATAGTAATCTACTGATGGATTATGCTAGCATGGCTTGTTGGTGTAGTAATCTACTGATGGATTATGCTAGCATGGCTTGTTGGTATAGTAATCTACTGATGGGTTATGCTAGCATGGCTTGTTGGTATAGTAATCTACTGATGGGTTATGCTAGCATGGCTTGTTGGTATAGTAATCTGCTGATGGATTGTGCTAGCATAACTTGTTGGTATAGTAATCTACTGATGGTTTATGCTAGCATGACTTGTTGGTATAGTAATCTACTGATGGGTTATGCTAGCATAACTTGTTGGTATAGTAATCTGCTGATGATTGTGCTAGCATGGCTATTGAAACCCACTGTTGGCTGCGTGGATTTTTATCATGGTATGGGCGTCACAGTTCGACCCAGCCCTAATTGGGTAACAGGATGGCTGTCCTGTTGAAGTAAAGACGGCCGGAGTATAGCTGACCATATTACCCACCTAGTGATGATGGTCTGTAAAAATATGGGCGCTCTTCACATTTTCCCGATATGCCTAAAGTCATGAAAAGGGGTCTTTTTTTACATTTTATGATGAAGGGAACTCTATGTGTGCGAGTGAACTTATCCGCGCCTGGTACAAATATGTTCAGTTCACATTTGATTATGTAGGGGGCTGTATGTGTGTATGTGTGTAAGTGAACTTACCAGAGCCTGGCACATCTATGTTCAATTCACACTTATGATGTAGGGAACTGTATGTGTGTACATGGATTTACCGGCTCCCGGTACGAATATGTTAAGTTCAAATTTAATGATATAGGCAGCTGTATGTATGTCAGTGAACTTACCGGCCCCCGGCACAAATATGTTAAGTTCACATTTGACTATGTAGGGAGCTGTATGTATGTCAGTGAACTTACCGGCGCCCGGCACAAATATGTTGAGAATGAGGCAGACCACGGCCAGCTTCATTGGCATAAACGGGATGGCGTTCTTGATGAAAGACTCTTCATTAGTCAACACTGCCTTTGGCTTTTCCTCAGCTGCAGGCAGCACAACTAATGCTGTATTGCGGATTCTGTAATCTACCGATTTCCTGGACCCAGAGTCGAATGACTGGCGAACTGAGTCCCTTCGAGAGTATATCGAGATTGTGTCTTCGTCCAAAGGTGGGTCCACAGAGAAAGGGTTTGGTTGAAGACCAGGGACTGTCAGGGAATGGATGCTCACCGATTTGCCTGGGTTACAGTCCTGATATTTACTGACGCCGTTTCCAATTAGTGGTTCGTGCGAAGGAGATCCGGGGGTGCCATTAGGAAGGGAATCGTTGTAATCTGCTGTGGGTTTTGTTTTGTATTTTTGGAGAATGTCTTTCATGATTACTTGGTCTATTAAGAAGTTAGGTTGGGTCTGGGGTGGTGCCGTTTCGTCAACGATTACAATGGATGCTGGTGGCGTTACTAAATGATCTGTCGGAGCTGGGAGTTTTTCTGTTTTTGCTGTTGTAGATGTTGATGTCTCTTCTGTATAGTGAGTTGTCGAGACTAATGGTGCTTCTGTTTTCTCGGTGTCAAGTTCTGTTGTCTGCTTTATATTCTTAATGTTAAGAATTGACTGTTTTTCTACACTTTTCGAGGTAGTTTTATTTGTTTCATGTGTATCCTGAATTTTAGGATTTAGCTGTTGCTCTGTTTTCTTTGCTGCAGATCCGATTGTCTCTCTTGATTCGCGAATTTTAGTATTGGGCAATTCCTTTTGCTTTGTGGCAGATCCTTTTGTCTCGTTTGTGTCCCGATTTGTATTAGCTGTTGGCACGTCTGTTTTCTTCATGGCTGACCCACCTGTCTCATTTGGATCCCGTGTTTTAGGATTTGAAGTTTCTTCTCTTTTCTTTGTCGCTGATTCCATTGTCTCTTTTGCATCCCGAAGTTTAGAATTTTGCAGTTCTCGTTTCCTTTTGGCAGATCCTAATGACTCTTTCGCATCAAGGGCTTTAGAATTTGACTGTTGTTTTTTTTTCTTCATTGCAGATCTGATGGTCTCCTTAAAATTTCGAGTTTTGGGATTTGTGGCTTTTCTTATTTTCTTTGGGGCAAATACTACTGTTTCTTTCACTTCGTCGTGTTTAAGATGAGACGACTCTTCTGTTTTATCCATGGAAGATGCATCTGTCTCTTTTGTATCCTGATTTGTTTTGGTGAATATTTCTTTAACATCTAAAGACTGATCAGTATGTCTCTTATGTTCATTATGAGGAGCTTCTTTTGCGTTCATTAACTTTGGTAACAATGTCTTTATTTTAGTTCTGGCCATAAACCAGTCACTCTCCTGTGGAGGCTTGTTAGCTTTCTCTGATGCTTCCATCTTGTAAGTTTGAGTGTCATATTCTATAAGCCCAGCATCTAAAGAAAGTTTCTCAGCCATTTCTGAGTTTTCCTGTTTGTTATGTAAGCTGTTGTCAATGTCCTGTATTTCTGCCTCTTTGTATTTGAGAATTGTCAGGTTTTCCTTAATCATGTTTTCAGGCACTGATGTTTCCACATTCTCCGTAGTCCCAACATTTTCATCTTGTTTGCTGACTGTGTTCGTCTCAGCTTCTGCCCCATTGGTTGTCTCCGTGGTTACAGATTGTTCTAATGTGTGTGTGGCCCCGGCGTCAGACAGATCACGTTTTTCTGTCGGGGAAACTGGCTCTTTTAAAATAATTTCAGTTTTAGTCTTAGTTTGATCATGTCTGTCTTGATGATTACTGACTGGTGATTTCATAGATACATCTGCAACTGTTCTGTTGTCAGATCGCTGGTCTATGACTGCTTTTACTTGCTTAACCGCTTTAGGTGGCTCTGTAAATGCGGATTTAGAGCTGTTTGTATCTGAGTGAATGGACTTGGCCGAACTAGTTGCCTTGTTGCTTCCATAATGTTGTCTTGAAGAGCTTACACGATCGTTTGTTTCTGATCTTGTCTTTAAAATGGTTTTGTCTTTATCAACACCTGCAAGCTTGATGTACTCACCCCGCTGTTGTATTCTGTTGGTACTAGCTTTTGTTGCCTTGTTGTAGGTGCCTCGTCTTGGCGATGAGGTTTTTTTACTCTGATATTCCGAGTATGGCCCCGTTAAGAGTCGTTCTAAAGCTTTCATTTCCACAATGGACTTATAGTTGGACTGCCTGCTAGACACTGGTTGCTTGTGTGAAGTTTCCTGTGCCGGTTTTGAATCCTTTACACTTTGTTCAACAGTGCGAGTTTTACTATTAGATTTAGTACCATCTTTTCCTTTGACTCTTTCATGTTTTGAATACACGTTATCTTTTCTTTCTTCAGTTTTGTTTTCTTTTTCATCAACATTAACTTTAAAGACAGTTTTTAATCGATTTTTTTCCTGAGTGAGTACCTCTTGTCCAGAATGGTCATCTAAAGAGAGATTTCGTCCATTATTTATAACTCCCAAGTCACTTTCATCAGTAACTGATCGCTTCCTGATTTCGTGTCCACTTGATACTATCGTATGTGTGTCCTCATCACTAGCGGAAATTATCATTTCTTTATGTATTTCCCCCTGAGTGGGTTGCATATTAAACTTGTCACTGGAATTATTTTGATCAATACTTTTCCAAGTTTCCGGGTATTGTATTGACAAATCTTTTTTACCATACACATTTTCACCGGAATCAATCGAATGCAAATCCCTTGATCTGCTACTTTTACTGTAGCTGATTTCAACATTGTCTGTATGTTGTATTTGTTCATCCGGGAAATACGCAAATTCAATGTTTGTCAATGCGTGCCTTTGAATATTTTGCTTGTCACTTCTGTTGTTCACGTCAGTAGTGCTTTTGTCGCCGATGTTTTTGTTTAATAATTTCAAATTGCCGCTACTATGCACAGACGATTGTGTATCTTCGCCGTTAGATTCTCCGTTATGTTTTTGAATTATAACGTCTTCTGCTGCTGACTTGCTGACTTTGTTACTCAGTAATATATCTAAATAAACCACTTCTTTGTGCGTGTCTTCTTTGTTATTGTTCTCATCATCATCAATAGTCTTATTTACTATAGGAGTTTCTGTGTGCGTATTTCCACCTTTCTGCGTAATTCTCTCTTCTTTATTTTCAGCTGCATGCGACAAGTATGCATCGCCCGGACTCTTTGGCGACAGAGGGTTCTCGGTCTTTGTCACTTGTATCGATCCCTCATCTACGATCTCGGGAGATGTCGCCTGCAAATTATTATCAAGAGAATTGTTTGTTTCATGATAAACAGATGATCGTTTGCGTTTAACTGCTTCAGTTTGGAATAATGTTTTGGAGTCCAAAGTCATCGATACTAGTTTGTTATGGTTTGAAAGGGCACCTGATTCCAGGAAGCGCTCATTTACATCAGATCCATTGTTATAAATGCCTTCTATGTCATCATAAAAGTCGGTGTCAGTTATGCTTTCGTTGTATTTGCTACTGCTCCCAGGGTCATCGGTGATAAGATCAGACCTGTTTGTTGTACTTTCATGTTTATCTGCCGCTGAATGTTTTCTAGTGATGCCGTTGTCATCAGCTATGTTTTCCTTGTCATCACCCCCTTCTTCGTTATCTTCCATTATAATGTCTTCTTTAATAATTTTTACAGCATTATCAGATTCCGAAAAGGAGTCATCCAGAGGTGATGCACATCCATCTGTTCTTTTGTAAGATGCAACTTCTGGTTGTTTGTTGAATTTCCACGCATTTTTCAAAAGTGACGGTAATATTTTTCTTGATTTTAATAAATTTGTCACCCCCAATTCTGTGTGTGACTTATTTGGCTGTGAAATTTCCGATTCTATCATTTCCGGCTGTGCTGGGGTTTTGCTTGATTGTGATGAGATATCGTCTACGACTGACTCGTCTTGGGTATGCACAAAGATAGCATTCCCCCTGGGCTCTGTGAAACTGAGTGGTACAGAGCTGACTTGGGTGACTCCAAGAGTTACACCCTCAAGGTGATCTAAATCCTCAATTGGTGTTAAAGTGCTGTTGGATCTCAAAGACGATTGAGACATTATTGATAGGCTACCTTCACACACAGCAGAAATCGCATCTCGCAGAGCACCTTGACATAAACAAAGAAGAAGTTTAATAGGCTTAAATATAAAATACAAACACATTTACAGGAATTCAAGAATACAAGACATAAAGATTATCGTCTAATTGCAAGTCTATTGCAGAACTAGTCAGTCACCGCGGGGAAAAAATGCACACACAAAATATAATTTACAACAAGCGATGGGCATTTCGCCTCAGAGGTGGCTTGCTAACCCTATCCCAACCGGCTAGAGTGCTCTACAATCACCACTTACACATTGGCCATCCAGGTGTTCCCAGACATTAACCAGGTCCGAACCAACAGCATCCGCTTCAATCTAATTCCAGCGCTTCTGAATCTTACTCTCTGAGAACCTTGTGGACCCGGAAGCGGTTGGTTCATCCTTCACGCTGGTCTGGTCGAAGTCTCCGTGGGCTGTTAAAAACGCTATAGCTAAAAGGTCAACTTAATTCTAGTCCATTATTCATCATGATCATATATTGCCATCTCATAGCCACACAGACCTTGACAGGAGGGATGGAGGGGAACCTTGAGATTCATGATTTAGAGACACGTGCTTTGTGCATTGACCACGAACTACCAAGATTTATATTTTTGTTGTTGTTGGTCTGTACACAACTACACAGGCGCATGACCTGCTGAGCATCCTTTAAACGGGTGACTTCATTATCTGTACCCATCGTGCATCTGTCGTACAGTGTTTTGTAAGCGCCGATCAACAGGTTTTTTTTTTTTTTTGTTTTTTTTGTTTATTAAACACATTCACAGAGTCGCCGTGGTTTAGCGGATAGACGCTGGCCTGCGGATCGGAAGGTCTTGGATCCGACTATAACGCAGTGATTGTTCGTTTTGCATATTGGCCAAAAAGTTGGCTTTTTTGCAATCCAATTAAAAGCCTGCCCGTTTTCCTCTTAGCCTTGAATACTGTCCAGAATCGCGGCTTAGCCCTTGACGAATTAGTTTGTCAGCGTATGGATATTCTGTCTGTTCTGTAGCACTGCCCGCTTGATCCCAGAGAGCTTTCATCGCATCCGCTTTATCATAAAATAGTTCACCGCCTAGCGATGTAATAGCAGCTAATCTGTCAGGCTGCTCCTTACCCCGCAAATCCCGGACAAAAAGTAATCATCCAAAGCGTCACAAGGCGACCCAGCCACACCGAGTACCAGGAAGTATCTGGCAGACTGTCTGTTCTTTTCAGAACATATCCTTGTACTGTACCTATGTTGAGGTGAGTCGATCTGGAAGCTCACTTCCAATGTTTCAATATTCCTATCTTAATACGGATTCGAACACATGAGTGCCGGGACGACAGGTTAGCGTCAGCCAGTTGAGATTCCGTGGCTGTTAGCACGAGACTGAAATAGAGTATTCAATCTTATATTGGGGAAACGCAGGGTAAGATAGGTAGACAATAAGATACTGCTGTGTATGGAAACAGATTAGACACCAAAATAATATATTGGTAGGGGGGGGGGGGGAGTTAGTTGCGTGTCTTTATGCTGTTTCTAGGCAATTTTATATTCAGTAGTTTGCCACTACTTCCTGTACGATCGACTCTCGAAACCATTGTTGAAACCAACGCAAGGCGGTCTGCTGTCAAATCGCCTGTAGTTGGGATGGAGCCCAGCACCATATACATACGAAGCGTGTTCGCAACGCCTGAGCCACAGATGCCGACAAACAAAAAGATGCACTACACTAAACTCACTCACATATCGGATGACAGATGATGGCAACAGAGAGTCTTGGCTGCTGTTGCTCCAGACCAGAAACTTGAAAGATGAGGGCGGAGAAGAAGAAGCATGATGAGGAGGAGGAAGATGAGGAAGATGAGGAGGAAGAGTAGAAGAAGAAAAAGAAGGTGGGAGAAGGAGTAGAAGAGCAAGAATAAAAATAAGGATGAGGAAGAAGAAGAAGAAGAAGAAGAAGCTGATGATGATGATG